GAAGAGACTGTTCGAGGATTACTTTATCTCCCTGCCATCTCTTCCTCAGAGCAAATGTTCCTAGCAAAAGTAGTCCCAGTAAAAACAAACAATGGGAAAAGGATTCCCTATTTAATAAATGTTGCTGGGAAAACTGGCTAGCCATACACAGAAAACTGAAACTGGACCCCTTCCTTACACCTTACACCAACTCAGGATGGATTAAAGACTTAAATGTAAAGCCCACAACCATAAAAACCCTAGAAGAAAACCTAGGCAATACCATTTAGAACATAGGCATGGGCAAAGACTTCATGACAAAATGCCAAAAACAATTGCAACAAAAGTCAAAACTGACAAATGGGATCTAATTAGACTAAAGAGCTTCTGCACAGCAAAAGAAACTATCATCAGAGTGAACAGGCAAGCTGCAGAATGGGAGAAAATGTTTGCAATCTACCCATCTGACAAAGGGCTAACATCCAGCATCTACAAGGAACTTAAACAAATTTACAAGAATAAAAACAACCCCATCAAAAAGTGGGCAAGGGATATGAACAGACATTTCTCAAAAGAAGACATTTATGCGACCAACAAACCTATGAAAAAAGTTCAACATCACTGATCATTAGAGAAATGCAAATCAAAACCACAATGAGATACCATCTCATACCAGAGTGGTGATTATTAAAAAGTCAAGAAGTAATAGATGCTGGTGAGGCTGCAGAGAAATAGGAACACGTTTACACTGTTGGTGGACATTTAAATTAGTTCAACCATTGTGGAAGACAGTGTGGTGATTCCTCAAGGATCTAGAACCAGAAATACCATTTGACCCAGCAATCCCATTACAGGGTATATACCCAAAGGAATATAAATCATTCTACTGTGAAGACACATGCACATGTATGTTTATTGCAGCACTATTTACAATAGCAAAGACATAGAACCAACCCAAATGCCCATCAGTGGTAGATTGGATAAGGAAAATGTGGTACATATACGCCATGGAATACTATACAGCCATAAAAAGGAATGAGATAATGTCCTTTGCAGGGAAATGGATGAAGCTGGAATCCATCATCTTCATCAAACTAAGACAGGGACAGAAAACCAAACACCACATGTTCTCACTCATAAGTGGGAGTTGAACAATGTGAACACATGGACACAGGGAGGTGAATATCACACAGCAGGGCCAGTGGGGGGTTGGAGGGTGAGGGAGTGAGAGCATTAGGACAAATAGCTAATGCATGCGGGACTTAAAACCTAGATGATGGGTTGATAGGTGCAGCAAACCACAGTGGCACACGTATACTTATGTAACATGTTTTTCTGCACTTGCATCCCAGGACTTTAAAATAAATAATGATAATAAAAATAAAAAAGTAAAATAAAAATGCACCTGAAAAAAAAATGGTCCCAGAGTCCATACTCTCCTCTTCGGATTTTCTATTTGTCCTGGATTCTTGGTCCAATGCCTTCTCATTTTCTTTATAGCTTGTAGATGCAACTAGAAAAATGGTTTAATGTTTCATCTAGAAATCATTGTCTCCAATGGGAGATTTGTTCTGAATTAACTAGCCTGCCATTACCAGAACTGAAGATTTGTTTATCTTTGTAGTATAGTTTTTATTTAATCGCAGTATAATTCACACAGAATAGAATGCACACATCTTAAATGAACATTTGATGAGGGTTTTTTCCCCCAAATGTGTATTCACATGTTATCATCACTGAAGGACAGATGATGTTCCAATATTCCTGGAAAGTTACCACATTTCCTCATCTAGTAAAATCTCCAACTCATCCCACCCCCCTCAGCAATGTCCTTTAATTTCAGTAATCATATATTTATGTTGTTGACTTTAAACTTCATATAAAAGAAATCATATAATGTACTTTTGCTCAAAGTTTTTGAGATTCATCTACATTTTGTACATATTCATAGCTTATTCCTTTTATTGCTGTACTGTATTATGTTATATAAATGTACCAGAGTTAGTTTATTTCTTCTTGATGAAAATTTGAGTTGTTTTCAGTTTTGGTTAATATGAATATATCTTTTATGAACATGCTCAGAATTCCTTTGAATTTTAATTTCTTGTGGATAATGAGAGGCCATTCATATTTAAACTTAGAATATAGCTATGTTATTGGAGTTTCTTACGCCAAGCTACACACCAGGCTTCATCTTCCAACTTGGTCTTCATCAATTGGTTTTACTTGTCATATATTTTGTTATTTCAAAATTTATTTCTTTAACAAATTTTTATAAAACACTTAGTATATGCTAGACATTATTCCTAATGCTTTTAAGTACTGACTTGTTTAATATTTAATCATTCTGACAACCTCTTGAGATAGTTGTTATTAGTATTTGCATTTTACAAATTATGAAATGGAGGCATAGAGAAATTAATCAACTTCCTGAGGTCACAGGAGGAGAAGTAGGAGAGTTAAGATTCAAACCAAGGTGCTCTGGCTCCTGAGGCAATGCTGGCTCTCTAGAGATGTTCATATGTGAGTAAGGAATGCCTCTAACATAATCTCATATAACCTTAGAATAAATAGCCATGCCCCTTTAATATGCTACAAATTGTCTTTATAGTAAACAATGGCACAAAAATTAGGTACATATAAAATGTGCTCGTTTGAGTGACAAGGTTGATAAACTGAAGAGACTCTCCACAAGTCAAATATGGGCAAAGCATGCTTACCTGTTGACCCCATTCAGTTCCTCACGAATGTTTCCTCATTTGTTTGGGGAGCGAGCTTTCATTCTCTCCATGTGTGAGTTGCCAAATTCATGTGATAAATATGCAAAGGCTGAACAGTTCAGTCCCTTCAGTCTGCCTTCCCTTGCTATACACACAAAAAATCTGATCTTGGTTTCATGGACCTCAGTGTGATGCATATTCATCTTTGTTGGTCTTTGCAAAACACGGCCAAAGCCCACTACTGCCTTTGGTGATATTACAGACAGAGGCCAGGCGGGGGAGCTCCGCAAAAAACACTACATAGAAAGTGTGACCGAGCCAAGCTTGGAGGCAGTTACCACACACACAAAAATGAAGCCAAAATGTAACTGGAAAGCAAAATAGAGGCTTGAGAATTGTCCAAGTGAGAAAGACAAGGAGAGAATATCAACACTAAACTAATGCGGAGGTTGGTGGACAAATAAAGGCTTCACCCGACTTTTTATTGATTTGAGATTTGAGATTCTGGCACTAGATAAAGGAAAGAGCAAAACAAAGAGCAGAATCCAGAGAAAATCGATTGCTTGAAAAACTGGGTACGGTTTACAGGCTGCGAGTCCCGACTGTGTCAGCTGATGAGTTTAACACTATGACAGCGCAGTCCTCGCCTGCCTGCTCGCTGTTGCAGTCCCCACACTGCTGTGTGCCCTGTAGCACCTGGCACACGGCGCTCAAGAGATGTGTGTGAATGAAGGAGCCATATCTTGACTCGCAACTCAGAGCAGTAAGCTGGAGTTTGAGAAATTACTGTGGGACAGGTTTGTTTATTATTATTTATTTGTTTGTTTGTTTGTTTGTTTTGGGACTGGAGTCTCGCTCTGGCGCCCAGGCTGGAGTGCAGTGGCGCGATCTCAGCTCACTGCAAGCTCCGCCTCCCGGGTTCACGCCATTCTCCTGCCTCAGCCTCCTGGGACTACAGGCGCCCGCCACCACGCTCCGCTACTTTTTTTGTATTTTTTTTTAGTAGAGACGGGGTTTCACCGTGTTTGCCAGGATGGTCTCGATCTCCTGACCTCGTGATCTGCCCGCCTCAGCCTCTCAAAGTGCTGGGATTGCAGGCGTGAGCCACCGAGCCCGGCCTCTTTATTATTTTTGAAAAGGATAAAATCAGGGGCTCACCAGTTGAGGGGCTGCCTTTAAAAGGAAATTAAAATGCAGGGCATATTCTCACACACCCTTCCAATGGGCCTGTAATAGAACTATTTTCCTGTTTTCATAGTTGAGAAAACAGGCTCAGAGGGATTAAGGAGCTTGCCCAAGTTCAAACAGCTCATAACTAGAGCAACTGGTTCTTCTGAAGACCTTGCCCTGCCTGCCTACCACATTCTGCTGACTTATCCTGATTAGCCTGGGACATACAGCGTGTCAGCTGCTAGATGCTCATCAGAGCAAATGTCGAGGCTTTAAGGTGGCCATGTAGTTTTTGTTGTCTTCATTTCCCTACTGGTACAACCTCAGTTAATTCACGGGTTGCATTAGGGTTACAGTAATATACAACAAGATGTATTTGCTGTTACTGTTCTTATTATCATTGCCACGATCACATCTTCAGGTAAGAGTTCCCAGTTCCAGAGCCTTGATTTCTTCAATCAGGAGCCGTGGATGCCAGCGTGGGATACGTTTTATTTCTAAAACCCAAAATATCTGCTGTTTTCCCAGGATATATCAAACTGTTGAGTAACTTTGTTATGGAGCCTGGGAAGAAGAAATTACTCAGAATATTTGTGATGTGTGTATTTCTTAAGAAGTTACGGCTGTCTTTCATACCATGGAGCAAAAAATACATCATTTGTTTTATATATAACGTTGGTTATGAATTCTGTTTGTAGAAATGGACATATTTCCTAATACCAGAGGGGGACTGATTGATTTCCATTATATAGCTACATGTCTACAGTAGGCAGTGAGTATAGTGTTATTGGAAGTTGGACATTTCACTAGACAAGCACACAGTAAAATTTCCGTGCCTGGCATGCAACAGATTCTAATTTAACTTAAATAACAAAGTAATAGTAATAATTACAATGTAACTAACATTTGTTGAACTCTTACAGTGCAGGCAAGTGAGTGCTTCACATGAATTACTGCATTTAAACCTCCCAACATGTGAAGTGGATACTTTTTCATGGAACTCTTTACAGGTAAGGAAGTGGAGGTGCAGGGAGGGTTACCAGATCGTCCAAGATTACACATCTGTGGTAGAGGAAATACTTGAACTTAGTTTATATTTTACTACACTGGATATGATATTTGAAATTAGAGCAAGGTTGAATATGTACTATCCTTTTCACATATTATTTTATCCCATTAAGCTTAACAAGGAAAAGATGAAGCCCAGCTCATTTTCTGTCTTCTGTACGCAGGTGGAGGAATAAATTCTGCCGCCTGCTTGCATGGCTGCCGCGGGGATGAAGGAGAGGGGACTCAGCCAGATGCTAAATTCTCAATTTCCAGGTTTATATTATTGCCTGCAAGTATGAAGATGGGAATATTACCAGCTAGTGCATGACTTGTGCTTATCTTGCCTTCTCCAGGATAGAAGCACCAGAGGCTAGCAGACACTAGCCAGAGACTCAGTGGTGGTCACCGGAGTGACTCCTGCGGCCCCAGCAGACACGTGCTGAGGCTCCCCGTTGCTCATATTCTATGGGATCACAGGGAGCTGGGACATGGAAGCATGAAGAGTACTAAGTTGACTGTGTAAATTGCTGGAGAAAGGTGAACTATGTACTAGTGTTGCTCATGTTGTATAAAAAGTATTAAATTTATAAGTCTAATAAGAATATGTTTGAAATATAATTTTTCTCTAAAATTCATAATTGGAGTTAAAATAGATTTGAAATCCATGCACATAAGTCAGCTACTTATGTTGTTAAAGAAACTCTAATCTTAGATTCCTAAACGGGGTCCTCATAGATCCCAATTTTATTAGCCAATTGGCCATGTTCCAGGGTAAATGATATATTTTACCTGATAGAAGAAATGATCATTATTAATTCATACGTGTATATAAGAATACTGATCAAATTGCTATGCTGGGCCTGATGCAGAGGCTTATGCCTATAATCCCAGCACTTTGGGAGGCTGAGACAGGCGGATCACCTGAGGTTAGGAGTTCGAGACCAGCCTGGCCAACATGGTGAAACCCTGTCTCTACTAAAAAACACAAAAATTAGCCAGGCATGGTGGCATGTGCCTGTGATCCCAGCTACTCAGGAGGCTGAGGCAGGAGAATCACTTGAACCCGGGAGGTGGAGGCTGCAGTGAGCCCAGATAGTGCCACTGCGCCACTGCACTCCAGCCTGGGTGACAGAGTGAGACTCCATCTCAAAAAAAAAAAAAAAAAAAAAAAAAAAAAAAAAAATTGCTATGCTGGAAGTACTGGAAAGATCACTGTGGCATCATTTCACTTCTAATGTGATCCCATACTTTGGATCTTCAAAATGATGTCATTGAAAGTTTTCCCTTTCAATAGTCTTTTAAATATGTGGTTAGTTAAAATGAGATTGTTAGAACAAATTCTTAATCATAGAAGATTTGGGTGAGACACATCAGCTTCGGCCCAGTAACGTACTCCACTATTTAGCCAAAGGCTATTTATAACCCACACGGGGCACAAATGTACACTGTAGATCACAGGGTGTGGCTACCTCGGAGGACAGTGGTTAAACCAGGCAATTATCAATGTTTCAACACTAACATCTGAATAATAATCTGAGAGGCACTGCAGGGCAAAAAACCTGGGTTGGAATCTCAGTGCTTCCACTTCAAGATGTATAATCTTGTGCAAATTCCTTACCTTCTTTCAGTCTCTCTTTCTTCATCTGTTGTACAGAAGGGATAATGATACCCACTTCATAACTTCTCTTTATAAGGACTCCAGAAAATATAAATACACCAGGGTTTGTTTTTTTTTTTCCCCATACAAGTGAGAGAGGCCTTCAATTCAAGTTGATTTGATTAACAACAGCAAAAATGACTTTATTACTTCGTATTACTGTCAAATCTATATTACTGTCAGATTAGCTACTTCAGGTGCAACTGACTAGATCCAGGTGCTCAAATGAAGGTACTGTGATGCTGCCTTTCCAAATCTCAGCAGTGCTTTTCTTTTTATTGGCTTAATTCCTAGGCGAGCTATTTCTTTACTGTCAATTATACCTCCAGCATCTTTAGGCTTAGATCTTGCTATCTTAGCCTTCCCTGCAGAGGATGAGTGCTTTTTCCAAAACTCCAGCAGAAGTCCCGGAAATATCTTTCTTGGCTAGTTTTGGTCAAGTATCCTTCTTTCTCTAGAGCCAGGAGATCAAGTACATGGACTTATGTTGGGCAAGATATGATTCTTCAAAGAAATGCTGGGTTTACAAGAAAAGAAAAAACCGAATTCCCAACATTTCATTCTAATAAACTCTGTAGAAAATTGCTTGGCATATAGTAAGAATTTTAATGATTTTAAGAAATCTATTTTTTAAACTCTTATATATGCAGAACTACCAGCTTTCAGCCAAGTTTTTCTGGACAACATATACATGAATAAAGCTCATTTAACCTGAAGCAATTTCTAGTTAGGGCAGATCTCAATATGTGATGTTTGATGTAACTCAATTTTTAGGATAAAGGCTATTCTGTGTTTTGGGGAAAGCTAGTGAATTTTTCCAAAGAGCCTGGATGCAATCTAAGTTAGTGACCCTTTTTGTGGCTAAATACCTTTTTTGTGGATTATCATAATGCTAGCAGAAATTACTCTTTTATGGCAAGAGACCAAACAAACACAGGAATTTCCCCCCAAGTAGGATAGTCCAACAAAATAGCTCTCACCCAAACTTTCCCCAGCCAACACTATAAATAATAATAATTTGATAATTATAATCTCTAAGAGAGCTTATCCTGCATCAATAATTATGGTTATCTCATAGAAACCTGAGACATCAGTGTCTATAATTCTGCTGTGAATATATTAATTGTCTATGACAAAAGCATTATGTCATAATATCTACGTCTGCATCAGGAGTTATGAAAATGTGTTTTGCCTTTTTAAAGTATCTATTTCCATTAGTGCAGCTTGGGGGTAAGTGAAGATAAACAGGATATACTGAATGGAGATAAGGCTAAATTCGGTTTTTCATTCCCTTTAAGGAATTCAGTTTGAAGTGTAAACACTGCTGTTTTCATTTCAAATTCTCATGTATTCTGAACATCTAGGGGCTTCATTTGCCTTTATTTTTTCTCATGAGATTTCACAAAACAAACAAACAAAAAAAGAGGATTATGTTTTCAGTAGTGTTTTAAATGCAATAGTGAATAGATTACCGTGACAACTTGCATAATTTTTTCTCTTTCATCAGCCATCATTGGCCTTCAAATTTATGGGTAAATGACCTTTCTGAGTTTGTATTCACTGCATACAAATAATCCTCAGTAACCTGTTCTAGGGCTAGGAACCTGTCTGCCATTATGCTGAACATTAGCAACCTTACTGTTTGAAATGTGTCCCTGTGGTTTTGTTTTTTGGAATATTAGGAATAAAAAAAGTCAATTAGAGCCTTTAGATATCTACCAGAGAATTAAAAATTACATTTTTTTAAAGGGTGGGCCCAGTGGCTCATGCCTGTAGTCCCAGCTACTACAGAGGCTGAGGTGGGAGGACTGCTTGAGCCTGGGAGGTCGAGGCTGCAGTGAGCTGTCATCATGACACTGCACTCCAGCCTGGGTGACAGAGCAAGACCCTGCCTCAAGAAAAAAAAAAAAAAAGTCATCGAAAGTGGGTCACTATATTTCCCCTCTGTTAAGATTTAGCAACTGGAAAGCACTAGAAATAGGCACTTTTTTTAATATCCCGTTGATATTTTCCATCTAATAGCTTGGATCAATACTGTAGCTAAGTCAAAACAGTTTAGTCCCATAATCTCTAGACGCAAAATTCCCTCTTTTATGAAAATTTAAAGGCTATCTGGTTATATTTGAAAGTCATTTTCCTATTCAACTTCTGAGTGACATGAAACTAAGTCCCTAAAACACAGCAACAATTCATATAGTACCCTGGGACACTGAAGAGAAGAGTGAGCAAGAGACTCAAAAAGAGGAAGGTGGGGAGTCCCAGGGGGCGGCTGTACAGTCTCTTCTCTGATACCTGCATGGAGGTGAGAAAAAGAGGCACCTAGAAAGGTGACAGCAGGAGGAAAGCCAGGGAGCCCTTGTTCTTCAGGAGTTGCTGTGAGGATCATTCCCTTAACACTGATGTCCTGATTCCCACTCCATTATTTTATTAAAATACTGAGTTGAAGGTCATCAGTGAACTTCTGGCCAGACTCAACTTACTTTCCTTTATCCTCATCCTTTTATTAGGTTGGTGAAAAAGTAACTGCGATTTTTGCCATTAAAAGCAATTGCAAAAACCGCAATTACTTTTACACCAACCTAATAGTTCTTAATCATTGGACCCTGCCTTGAACACTCAGTGTTTTTTAATGTACTAACTCTCAACTACCTTACTTGACTTTCTCTCTGTTGTTTTAGTGGAAACCACTCACCAACACATAGCTTTGAATAGTCCAACAGTATTAGCCCCTCTCTCTTTATTCCCACTTAGTAAGCGCACACAAAGTTCCGTCTTATTTAATCGTCGTAGCATGTATGCAGCTTACTGGAGCAATTGGGTTCCCGATCACATATAATTTTGTATGATCTCTTGTGTGTGTGTCGGGGGCGGGGGCAGTATGTGTGTGCGTCTGTGAATCTGTGTGACTGTCTCAGTCTCTGTATGTATGAGTCGTATTTGCTCAATCAGATTGTAAGTGCTTAAAAATAGAAAATTTTAGAGGCAACTTGAGCATGTATTTTATGTTCAAATAGTGCTGTTCTTTATAATGAACTTTTATAGGTCTCTAAAGCTCTCTGAGCCCAACTTTTCTCATCTTTAAAATGTGAATAATAATATCCACCCCTAAGATGAAATAAATTCATAAATAAATATATGCATGTAGCATCCAGTATACCCTCAATAAATGATTTTTCCTATGTTTTAACTTTTCTCACATCACCCATTCTAGTAATACAATGTTGAGTTCAGTTTCAACATTTTAGTTTGACTGATTCATCGAAGCTAACAAGATCAGGAAAGTTGTGACGTACTGAGCTAATCAACTAGATCTTGCTACCACAGTCTTTCAACGTGGTATATTATAAAAACATTTATCTCAGTAAGTCACTTCAATGACTAATCAATATTTTATTTTCCTGAGGAAATGAAAATGCCAGGAAAATAGATGCACAATACTTTTAGTGTGGTTATGTGTCTTTTAAATATTAACAGATTTGTTCATAGTGTTATTTGGAAGGATTTATAATATGAAAAATACAGCATCTAATTTCCACTTGAAGAATTCATATGCTATGAGTTATTTTATTTGGGCTTAATTTTTATTTAGTAATTAACAGACTCAGAGATGGTAAAATTTGCTGAGGGAAAGTATACCAACAGAACATACAAATGGGAATCAAGTAATTCATAAAAACAAAGCCAGATGTCTTGACATAAAATCCTAAATATTATACTGTAGTTTTTTGTACTAGTAAAACTAGATGTATTTAAACTTAATGCACCGATGATTCCAGCCTTAGTGAAATGAAAATGTTGCTTAGCCCCAAAGAATCCAGGCTTCTGATTAGCTCATGCAAAGACAATTATTTGTAATAGCACTTACTGGTAGAGAGAAAGGACTGAAACCTTAGATGGGCACGAAGACGTGACTAAGGCGGGTTTTATTTCTGATCCTGAAGCATTGAAGGGGAAGTCTGCAGTGACTCAGAGCACTGTGATGGCCCAGCTGTCCACGGACATACCTCTCTAGTGTGGAGTCAGGCATCACCATGCCAGAGGGAGGACTCACCATAGAAGCATCAGCATGTATTGACTCAACTGACACAGTCTTACCGGTAGTGAAAGAGAGGAACATTTTGTTAATCTTCTATTTGAAGTTAATTTTCACTGATTTCGAAAGCACATATTGAAATGGCACACTGGGTCTAATTAGTGTCTGCCTAGCCAGTATTCTGCCTCTGAAAATGATACTAGGGGCTATTTTCATAAGAAGCTTGGTAATTTCTTTCTAATATATAGATCTAATTATTATTATTATTTTTTCTGAGAGCCATTCATTCACTGGGGAAAGAAGCAGCCTGCTTTATTTGACATATTTATTTTACAGCCATTTCTCCTGTGTTGGAATGCATCAGGCAAATCTGTCCAATCAGTTAACATACTCAGCATAAAATGGATACACCAAGGGAGAGAAGCACACAACACTTACTAGTATGACCAGTCATAGGTACGCTCCTTATTCCAAGAACGGACACTTCTATTTTCTTACGGTTGTTATTTTTTGTTCTTTTGGAACTTCTCAAATGAATTAGGCAGCAAATACCACAATCAACAGGCCCCAAACCCGGTCATAGAAATATGTAACTAAATTCCCTGTAAGAAATGATATTTAGTATTTTGGCATATCATTTTTGGCTTAAATGCCAAAATATTGCTGTTCTATGTCATTTTCTTAATAATTTATTCTATTTCTCTTTTAAAATATGACTTGCCTAAGGATACCTATATACAGACGCATTTCATTAATGAATAAAACATATTGGGGTTAGCAAAGATTATAGCCCTAAAAAGTATATTGTTTTCCTTGGTTTTGGACAGTCTTGATGAAATGCATGTTTACCTGATAATCCTTCTGGATATGCCTTTTCTGACACCTCCCTCCCAGGATTACATGCTTCCTCTTTCTGCTCCCTTAATAACTGTTTTCACCTGCTTTATATTTACCTGATTTCTTTTCCGTTTCCTCTGCTAGACTCTGAGTTCCTTGTGGCAGGGACCATTCTACTTGTCTTTGTCTCTTCAAAATCTAGCAAAGTGTTTGACACATACCAAGTTCTTAAAAACTGTCCATTGGATGAAGGAACCGTGTTAAGTTATTAATCTGTGATGTTCCAGTGTCATGACTTGTAAGAAAAATGTTTATTTCTAAAACAGTAAAAACAAAATAATTGGTTAATCTGATGAGTGGTCATTAAGATACACGCCATGGACTGTTTACTGATTTAGCTCATGGTCTACAAATAGTACAGTGCCATTTTAAAGCCTTAAATGATAGACAACTTTACCTGATGTTATGAATATCATTTATATTAACAATGGGAACCCCATACACTGTCTTCAAATTGTTCTTGATAACTAAATATATCAAACGGAAAGGATATGCTTATATACTTCACTATCTGGATTTTGAAATTTGGAGCACAGAGGTGGAGTATCATTTTATATTGAGAATGGAAAGTCAGGAGACTTGCGACACGTGATGCAATTGCTTCCATGGAATATTTTCAGACCAATAGGAGTTTGCGAAGAACTTTTACGGACTGTATAAATATTTTGAGCTGTAGGCATCATTACCAGCTGATATTTTCTTTCCTCAGGACCAGCTGTTCAGGAGCATCCCGGACGAGAGCCAGGCACATTTGAGACTTGGATCCAACTAAAGACAGCCCCAGATTCTTCTGCAGCAATGTCGGTGTTGGAAGAAAATCGGCCATTTGCTCAACAATTATCCAATGTCTACTTTACAATACTTTCGCTGTTCTGTTTTAAGCTTTTTGTGAAAATCAGCCTTGCCATCCTCAGTCATTTCTACATTGTGAAAGGCAACCGCAAGGAAGCGGCAAGGATAGCAGCTGAATTTTATGGAGTAACCCAAGGACAAGGTATGTTTGTGATAATCCTCTCTTGTTTCAAGTGGAGTTTAACTTTCATTTGATCCATAATTACATGTTTTCTTTTTAGACTGCTTCAAGGTAAATATGTTATAAACTTTTGTTAAGGGAAATACTTATAACTCACTTCATGGCTTTATAAAGAGGAAAATTACTTTTTTTATGTCAATGTTCGGGTTAAAATCAAGGTATCATTGCAAAAGAGATTAAGGGAGGCGTACGATATGTATAATAGGAATATATATATAATAGGAATATATATATATATATTCCTATGAAGAAACATTTTAAAACGTTAAACATTTTATTTGCCAAGTCATAGTATTAGAGATTAGTTTTAGAAGTAATTGATTGCACTTCAGTCATCCTCTAATGTGTACCTGGATTGTATAATTTTAAATCAAATCTTTAGTTATATGTAAAATAATTGTTATTAAAAAGAGGGGATTTCAAGATTTGGTTTCTCAGAACTTTAATAAGATAACCATTTGACTCTAAAATAAAGCACACACAAAAAGAAGATTGATGGTATGTATTTTTCTGATGGAGTTGTTATTGCTCAGCTCAGTTTGTAAAAAATTGATTATAAAAGGATAGAAACATAATTAATAAATTTTATATGTGTGCAGCCAAGTGCATCCATGTTCTTTAGAAGAAATTGTGGTATGAAACCAAATGAGAAACAATATTACCCGTAGACTTCAAAAGGTTGTAAAACCATTTAGGTTCTATTGGATCGATACTCTAAAAAGTAAAAATGATTCATATGGCAGGCTTTAAAGTGCCATTTTTTAATTCTCTCAGTCTTCAGATTCATTTCTGATTTGAAAATCAATAGGCATGTATGAATATTTATAGCCCAAATACCTCCAAAACAACTTAAATTGTCAGAATTGAAATTTACTGTCACACAATTTAAACATGTAAACTTGAAAGAAAAATCACTTAGAGTAGAAAGCTTGCCTTCTTAAAATCCATGTTCCTACATTTTTCAATGTGGGATGCGACTCATTTTAAAATCTAGGTTACTCTATTGTTACATGGAATGTTGAGTGAGGGTGGAAAATCTTTTTTAGTGTATGAGGTAGATAATGAGTACATTTTTCCTGAGGAAGATTGCAATTTTGCAATATGAGGAATTGATGTTCTCATTCAAAATGAGGAAAATTTAAATGTTCATAAGAATCTCTTATAGGGAAGATAAAATCTCAAGTAAATAGGCAGTATTTAACCCTTTACCTACCACCTCTGCCTTAGAACAGAGAGAACTATATTTTATGTATTTATTTATTTTCCTGGAGACTGGGGCTCACATTGTTGCCCGGGCTGGAGTGTAGTGGCTCAATTCTCACTGTATCATTGAACTCCTAGGCTCAAGGGATCATCTGGCCTTAGCCTCGTAAGTAGCTAGGACACACAACCGTGCCTGGCTAATTTTATTCTTTGCAGAGACAGAGTCTCAACATTGTCCACCTCAAGTGTGGTCTCAAACTCCTGGGCTCAAGCGATCCTCCTGCCTCAGACTCAGAAAACTCTGGAATTACAGGTGTGAGCCTCTGTGCCAGACCTGAACTGTATTGAAATGTGACATATACACTATGTGATTCATCTGTACTAAAAAATTTAGTTGGCAAGGGGAATATTTGTATACAAAACAGCAAACATAGAAAATTAAATTTTAAAACAAAAGCCATATTTGCAGATATATGAGTAAACAGCTTACATGATCGTAAGGTGGTAAAATTTACCCTCACGGGCAGCCTGTCGCACATTACTTCATGATCAGATCTTGTCTCTGTGTTATGAGAATTGCTTTACATTGACACATGAAATATTGCCTAAACAGAAGAAACTTTGTTGTGGTTGAAAAGGGTTTTAGAGGGGGCCATGGAAGCTCCTTTTTGTACATGTTTTCAAATAAAAAGAAACATCCCCTCGTTAGACAGATCTTAGTGTACTTACACTGGGAAATCATGGGAGTATATGCACTGGTTTCCACATTCCCATATACTTTTAGGATTCTATTTTAAAATAAATTAGAACTCTAGGATTTTTTGTCTCAAGAAGGAAAGAAGAAAGGAAATCGATATCAATTAATAGGAGACACTTTTCCTGGAAATATAAAATGGAAGCAAAGTTTTTAAAATTTTGTTTTGTGTTATTTTTAATATTAGAACTATTTAACAAAAATTTCCCCTCTAATATCATGCATTAATCTGTATATGAAACAATACAGTATAGTATTATAATTTTTATTCAATGTAAGCATAATTTGTTTCCAATTTTATTTTAACATTAAGAGAACAAATCAGGTACCTTATAAAACTCTTTCTTAATCTTCTACTTCTAAGCATTCATTCTTGCTTGCCCAGGAAAATTATTACTTTCTCCATTTTAACATAGTTTTTTTGTTATTTACTATAAGTAAATTATTTTTAAGTTCTGTTTGTGTCTTTATAGGTCACTAATTAGGCTTAATTATCTGTGTTTAATCCAGCAATTTCCTCCTTCCCAGGAGAGATTATCACCTTCATTCCCCTTTGAATTGGGTTTCTCATTCCTACTTTCAAGGCTTAGCCAGACTGCTCCCCAACATTTCTGATGTGGAGTTGCCAAATTCCATGAAATAAGAGATGGTGTGTATATTTTCATGTCTTTCATAATCACAGAAGACCCTGTTGACAACATTCTGGATGCCCTCCCCATGAGCAGTAGTACTTTGGTGAGAAATAAAAGGAACTGTTAACTTTCTTAGATATTATTGCCAATCAGCTGATTGTATTAGACAAATATCTGGGGTTTTTTGTTTTGTTTGTTTTTTAAAAGCTCTTTCCTATCAGGCTTGAGACCAAGGTATGATTACCTATGAGAATGCTGAAAAGCTAAATGGTATCTAAAATAGCTTAAGATATTTCCTTCTTGATCCTTTTGCTATTTCGTTAAACTTTACAAATCTATCTTTTCATCTCTAAAGGCTTTTATCATCCTCATCATCATATTGCAGGGGTCTATTCTTTGCTTTGCTTTTTTGTATAACTACCTCCTGTATCATCCTTGCTGCTAAGTGTTCTGATTACAGTCTTTGTATATTAGAGGCCTAGTCTATTCCTAAAGCTAACTCTAGACTTTGAAACTGACAGGGACACTACCAGGCTTTGAAGGCTATATTGTAATATTAAACAGTGTACAGAGAGAATGAGGATGTGGAGAAATGCATTAATTTGGTGAAATCATACCAAAGGCCTAGAAGAAGCCATTAACTACTTGACTCCCAAAGATACTTCAAGAGGCATCTCTTCTCTTCTGTTAAGGGCACTACTTTTCAAGTTCTGTGTTAGACTCTGAAGAAGTTTAGCAGTTTTTGCTACAAATGGACAGGACAAGTTCTAAGCATTGATTTTTTTGAGCACCCTTGATATCAAGACACGGAGGATACAGTATACATAAAAGGCAAAATGTATTGTTCTCATCCTTAAGTTTATATTCTAATTGAGGAGATAGGATATCTACAGATAATAGTCACTTTCCAAAATACTCACTGCCAAATGACTTTAAAGAATGAATGGGTCATTTTCCAATTGTACTTTCAGAGATATCTTCAAAGAGGAGGCAGATCTTGAGGTGACTCCAGGAATGAGCGAGGCGTGGATTTATGGGTGCACATGGACTGTTGGGAGTCAGTAGATTTGGCTGGAGTGGAGAGTTCATGCAGTAGAAAAGTAATAATAAGTTGGGCCCAGATGTAAAGGAAGTTGAATGCCATGCTAAACAATTCAGACTTAACTTTGAAGGCAGCAGGCATCATTGAAAGTTTTTCATATGAAAGAAGGTGGGAAAATAAAAAAGGGTATGTATTAAACCATAATTTAAAGTATATCTCTATAGTAATATTCTCTGGAGTTGGATGAGACAGATTTGAAATAAGTTGACCGGTTAGGACCTTGCCGTGTGGAGATGAGGACCTAGACTAGTTTGGTAATGGTGGTATGGACAGAAAACAAAGAATAACAACAAAAAATAAACAAAGAAAAAGAAAAGAAGAAAGAAAGAATGTGATGGTACCTGTAAATAGCATTCAAATAGCCTTTAAATTGGCAGAAAGAGCAAATGTTACCTTAGAGTAACATTTTAACATATTATTTTTTTCATTTTAACATAGCTTTTTCTCCCAGAGTTAGATACTAACATGTCAATCAGAAGATTGATTAGTCACACAGGTCAAGTCTGCAGCCTCCAGCCAAGGCCACCCCTTGAAAGTGAACCCTTAGAGCTTGCTGAGTCTGGTAGGTTACATACCTATCCCTACTGGGAAATATCAATGTAAATCAGGAAGTAACAGAATTATAATCTGATTTCTAGTCTTGCATTTGATTTATTTAATGTATTCTTTTCGTTCCAAATTATATTTTTAAGCACCAAGCCTTCTGATTATGACTTGGCTCCAATCTCAATCTGCCCACAGAAAGAAAATGTGCCAACTTGCCCTCAGGACTGTTTTAGTCCATCTGGCATTTGTAGGTCTTGTTGCAAATTAATACATTTGCATCATGATATCAATCAACAGTACTTTGTGTTTGTGGAGTTGTAAGTCCATTTCTGAGACATACATTTGCTCCAGACTTGCTGACAGATTTCTGAGCCTGCAAGGTAATGGACCAAATTTTGGATTGTGGAAAATTCCTCAAGATAACGTGTCTCTGAGGCTGCTTGAGAAACAATCTGGTGACACCCAAGCTCTTCAGGTGCTCCTTTCACGGTTGAGATTTTATGTAGAATACACAACACATGTAAAATCATCGTATGGAATATTTATGCTTGTGATTTCATAAGTTTTATTTTAGGGTTGCCATTAATCATGAATTTTTTTTTGTCAAGTCTGTGGTAGACACTTGGAAATAGGACATAGTATAAATGTGTGACCTTAAGCTGAATGGCAGGTGAACTTAGCATTTTGGAGAATAGCATAACCTGGATAGGAAAAGCAGCTAGAA